ACTCCTCTGCGAGAGCGCACAGGCTCTGCTCCTCATGTCCGCATACAGACACAGACCTGGAGCCCAGAGGGACAGCCAGACACTTCTGTCTCCAGGTGGCTTTAGGCCCTAAAAACTAAAGGCCATGGTTAACAAAAATCAGTGGGAAAAGAGACACCAAATTATTGGAACTCTAAGAGCAACCTAATATTTTAATAGCTCAGGGGATAGGAAAATAGAAAAAAAAGTCGATGAAAATGGGAGAGTAGAAAAGAACACAAATTTTATTTTTAGAATTTGAAATTAGTGGTTTGTATGATTTCAATTTACTATAACATTTAATTTAAATAATTTCATAACTACCTTCTTTAGCAGTTTAGTGTCAAGTAAGATGTTAAAAACATTTGTTAATAATAGACTTAAAGGATAAGTGGATCACTACTATATTTTTCTTTATAAATTCCACAATTTCCATTTATAAAACCTCAAACTTTGTTTCTATCATTTCTAAAGTACTAATTCGTAAGACGAAATTTGTTACTAGTAGGGAAACATAACAATCCATTTGGTGACATTTCTGTTGGCACATGGCACACAGCCACCCCTGACCTAGATGCCAGGGTGGAAAGGGAAGGGAGGTTGCCACACCTGTCATTTCTCCAGGTGGGTGGCGTGCCCAGGCCACCGGGCACGCAGGCGATGCAGAACACAAAGCAGACATGGAGGGGCCGCTGTGGGCCGCGGCTGTGGGCTTGGGGGACAGGAGGAGGAAACGGGCCTTACCCTGGCCATCTCCTGCTCCAGCTGCAGCCTGCGGTGCACCTTCTGCTGGTAGGTCTTGATGACGTTCTCCACGTGCTGCTCCATGAAGAACTTGAACGCATAGGGCGAGTAGCTCTTGATCCGAGACTCCCTTTTCTCCTCGTCTCTGCCGTTTTTGCGGACAGGGACGGGGGACGTCTGGATCTGCTTCTTATCTTTCCCGGTTCGGTCGGCCTTGGAGCCTTTGGGGTCCGGGTCGGCCCTGTCGGGGGGCTCGGCCTGCGTGCCCCGCAGCCGCTGCTCCACCCCCGCGCACAGGCCGTCCACGTCCACCTGCTCGGCCGCGCCCCGCAGCAGCAGGTGCTTGGGGTAGGGCGGGGGCGGGCACCGCACGTCCACGTCACGCGGGTAGGCACCAGCGCCCAGGGGCAAGGGGTGCTCGTCCACGGAGTCGGGCGCCTCGCGGG